TTCAAATCGTACAGTCCCTTATGGAGGCAAACTCCAAAATCATGGTCTCTTTTTTGTTTGCGTGTGTCTTTGATTTGAATGAGTTCAGAATGTCCCCCAGTGCAGGTTGAATTGGTAGTTAAAGTGGCTGAGACTGGAGGCGTGGATGAATCAATCATCTTAATGTTTCTCATTAAGTAGTGAACATAAAGCTCTCTCACGTCATGTCTTAGATCCAGTTCTCCGCTGTGCCCCCAGTACTCTAGTCTAGTGCATACAGAGCTTCCGTTATCATAAACTAGGTTAGCATATATAAGTGGTTTCCTCTTCTCCCTGTCATCGTGCATTGTAATGAAAGCAACTGCAGTGTAGTTTGGATCTCTTGTGTCAAAATATGCCATACGTCTTGCCTGTAAAATACAACAGAAATTACTGAATTATACACTATTTTATTACAAAGTACACTGACACAGTGGAATGTATAGAATTTTTAAAATGACTCATCAATCTACACATAATGTAAAGCTGCACACATACGTAGTACAACCCCAACATTACTATCATTTTTTAAAGTGCTAAATTTTTGGTTGCAGTTAGCCTTTAAATGCTTACTATAGTTCTAGATGTGATTCTGGTCCATAAGTGATCCATTGACTTTGGATGATAATGGAACGTATCCTATAAAAAGAGGAGACACATGAAAAACTAATGGTATGCATACAACAGAGATTATCATTCAGTTGTACAGAATTGGGCAGCCGCTGCTAAGCCATAACAAAAATACGCCACCTATACTTGGAATACTGCAACCCTGGTTGAGGACTCAGGAATAAACAAACATATTTGTAGCATAATTATGAAACTGCAAAGTTCTGTTATTGCTAATTCACACTGTGATCTTAATTTACTAAAAAAAACATACTTGCTGTGTATGAATATCAGTAACAAGTAGGGCTAGGCCTAGTAAAACAACCCAACTGCTCAAGACTCACCTCCTCACAAGCAATGCAAATGTGGCAAGTTCAATGGCTCAGGCTGTACTATTTTATAGTAACTCAAAGTCTGGAAACATTTTCAGATTCTGGCATTACTATAATTATTACAATTACAACAGATGCATATAGATGTAACTTGATACTTGATATTTAAGAAAAGTTTAAACTATGAGCATAATTGGCATGATAGCCTTTGATAGGATGGAATTTGGAGCAGTCCTAAAAGCATAATAGGCAAAAATCGAAGCATAATTGGCCTACCCCTAGTGACAATTAAGCCATCTATTGTGGAATAAATAGTGAGTAGACAAAATGTGGCAACAGTTCTTTAATTTCCATAGACACTGATTTCAGCATGAATTGCACAGAACATGGGTTTATGATTCAGTTTTTGATGAATATGAGCTCCATTCATGACTGAGTGCACTGTATACTATGCCCTTTACTTTAACTCACCTTTTCCTCAGTAATTATTGGATGAAGAGAAGTCCTAAGAAAAGAAGTAGTCATCAAGGTGAAGCCATTCTTAAGCCCACCATCCACTAATCAACTTTGTTGAAAGCAATTTTGTGGTTACTTTGATCTTAGGGCAACTCTGTTGCCTGAAATAGAAGTCAGTTCTATTTCAGGCAACAGTGTTGACAGCACATCAAAGTAACTACAAAGTTGCTTTCAACAAAGTTGAATATTGGACGATGGGCTTTAGGATTTTGAGAGATTTACTTGATATTGGATAAAATCACATCTTGCCACTGATCATGATCACACGAAAAGTACCAAAAAGTCAGTAAGCTCAAGCACCAAAGAACTCCAAGAAGCAATGTCCTAAGCAGCCATGAGCGAGAACATATCATCTTCCTAGGAAAACAAAACCAATAATTCTGGGCCGTTGTCAATATTAGGGGCTTTATAGTTACGCCCCCTCTAGCCTCATTATGAATAATGAGTAGCTAAATATCATTATTATAGTCAGGCAATCATAATTATAAAACTATAAAATAAAAATACCCAAAAATCATTGCAGCAGTGCAGTGCAGTTACACTTTGAAGCACATTTGCTCCATTATGCCTTTCCTTGTCACTTCAAAATATCTGCTCATTGTGAAAGTTTGGACTTTCTTTGTCCCTTGGTTCTTCTCCGGGAACCTGTAGTGATGTGTGAGACCCAGCTTAACGGGAACATTAAATTGTTTGGTATAGCCTTTCTGCCATGGTGCAAAGATGTAGTGATACCAGGCAGTGTTTACTGCAAGCGGCTTAACAATTATCTTATGGTAGCCGTATTGACGTGGAGGATTAGAACTCCGCTGTGTGCTCATGAAGTAGCGAGGCCACTTCATACTGGGACATTTATTTGACTTAGCTACTTCTGGTAGAGAGGTGCCATTATTCCACAAGAAAGCATTATAAAGAATAAAAGAAGCAGCACTTTTTGCTTCATCTATCGTCTCTAGCGTTGAAAGCATTTCTGGTACTGTGAGATTACTCTGTGGCACAAAGAACTCATCAACATCCATTAATCCAAGATACTTAACACGATTTATGTTTCTAAAAATGCACTCTGATATTGTAGCTGTCTGCCCCCAGTGTTTAGTATACTCTGGAACCAAAGGAATCTGCATTTTCCAGTCTAATACTTCCACAATCCCTCGTTCGATATAAGGATGCATGAGTTCGTAATATGACTCCGAAACATTTTGAAGATAAACGGTGATGACTTTGGCCC